TTAGCCACCCAGGGCGTTTTTGCAGTCTTACACTAGTCAGTGGGCAGTGGTTGTTGATGAGGTGCAGAAGGACATTTTTGAACAGCTCCCAGTCATCGTTGGCACTTCCCTAACCAATGAGCCCCAGTCAAGACCGGATAAGTCTGCCCTCATCTGATTGAAGTCACCCCGCCAAACATTACGTCTTTTGTGGTCTGGAGTATGTGAAATTAAGAATAACGAATAATCCCACATAAGCACTACGTGGTCAATTCGGCCAAGGGGCGGCATGGAGGTGATCTCGTCTATGCTGTCTAGTGTTTTCGTAAAGACCCGATACAAGCAGTTTGCCCTTTGTCCTTCACGTGTTCTCGTTGGCAACATTACATGTTGTGTAAGGCACGCGTTTAATGTTTTGCGCAACAGGCGGTAATCGAATGCTGATTTTGGACCTGACGCTTGGAGGGTATTCCAGTTTGTTCCTGATGCGTTGAAGTCGCCCATGATCATGATGTTAGGTCGACTGGAAAATTTCTCCAACTGCTCCAATAGTTGAGTGTCGGCGATTCGGTCTGTCCTAGGTGGCCGGTAGACAGTGAGGACATCGAGACACGGGGAACCTGTAGCCTTGATGGTCTAACACATTTTCCTCCTCTCGGGTAAAAATAAGATCAAGGCAGTTCGACTGCTGCACTTCCCTGACCCGTGTTCCAAAGGTGACATTCTGGCAGAGAAGTTTGTCCGTTGCCCATTGTAGTAGTTTGTGATTAAAGCTGTCTTGCGGCCCTTGTGCAGTCCACGCCAGCTAATCAATGCCAGGAGCGTTAAAATCCCCAACGATAAGGACATCTTTCTTCTCGCTAGCTTAGTACAGTCGGATATGAGCATGAGATCTTGTTCAGAAGTATGGTTAGGTGAACGGTACACCACCGAATGCGTCAAGGATCGGAAATTCTTAGTAAATATGGTAACGCTTAGCAGTTCCACATCCCGTACCGGTCTATGTACATCAGCCATAGCGCTTAGCTTGCAAGTGACATAAATTATGACTCCTCCTCCTCCTCCTCGGCTTGGTCTATCTCTCCTGAATTGCTGATATCCTCTAAGTGATATTTCTGAATCTGCAATATCTTCAGTAAACAACGTTGCTGTGAATGCCATAATGTCTGGCTTAATTTCATCAACTAAGTCTCTTAGTTGGTCTAGTTTTTTGAAGAGCCTTTGCACATTTGCGGATATAACCTTCAATGGCTGATTCGTTGAAGAGGCCCGACCTTCATTGTGACGGGTTCTGACCACAGGAAAGACCCCTTTGTTTGGACTATTTAACCATTTTTGATCTTCAGCCCTTTCTCTCCTCTGCCAATTCTCTCCTTCAATTCTGATCTCAGTTCTCTCATATTCAGTCTTTCCCTCGGCTCGTAGTCTGGTTGAAAAAACACTTCCTTGTGCGAATTGCGTAAGGTCGTTCTACTTTCTAACAAAAGCGCTGCTTGGGCTTCGTTTTCCAAAATAACTTTCAGGGGTCTTGGGGATGTTTTTGGTCACGATTTGGGTCCGCTCTGCCTAGTCGGAAAGCTTTTTTAACGGTGAATATTTCCTCATCCTGCAGGACGGCACTGGCGAACTGATGAAGAAAGTCTAGGTCGTGCGTCACTCGTTCCTTCGGAATGCAGGACGTGGACTCTGGAGCGCCCCTTATGACAATATTTTGCTTACGATTTATGGAAGAGTTCATTACTGTCCCGTCCGCGCTAGGACGATATACTGCTACTGTAGTATTCCCGACGGATGTTGGCACTTCGACATTTGAATGATTTTCGGCCGGCGAAGGGAGGTGAGTGCATGCATTATCATGTGACGTACTTGCTCCGGCAGTGGAGCTCTTACAATCACTACCCTGTTGCAATGTACTGCACGAAGGCTTATCGTGTCCTATTCCATAAACTAAACGGTTAGGGCACTTTCCAGATGAGTTAGCCTTGTGAAGAAGTGAAGTAACAGCATTGCCTTCCAAGAATAACGACGAGTCCTTGTAGTTTCTAACAGATCTTCTGAGGGTCGCCATGGCTTTCCCAACTTTCGTGCTCGATGATGTAGCAGGTTTAGTTTCTATAGCAGGTTATGCAGCCTGACTTATTTTTAATGCATTAGCGTCGACCGCCACGTAATCCACCGGAACTGATTTGTCTGGAGTTTCCTCTGGAGACATAACTCGCTTCCTCTTCCTGACTGGCTTTGACTTTTCCGCGCTAGTGCCTTTATTAGTAGGATGTTCGTCGTTTATCGATCGGAAATTTGGCGGATTATTTGGTAATTCTATTGTACTGTGCTAAAGAATAGCCATGATGATGTCCGTCAGTAGGCCTTGCTTCTCTTTTAGCGTCTGGACTCGCTTTTCAAGTTCTTTACAGCCGACACAGCGGCCGACAAGCGCAGAATCCGTCCCGTCTGTCATACAGTTTTCGAGGCCTCTTGGCAGTGCATCGGTTCTTATTTCCTGTCTTATCTCTTCGAGCCTATTGTGCGTAATCTCCCTGGAGTCTAATGATTCCAGCGAAATTTTTACCGCAAGACACTGCTAATGAATTAAAAACCGTTCTCAGCTGCTATTCTGTAGTTAATAAACATATCTGACTAGAACCAAACCGTTCATCGGTAGCGCAGTGGCTACGGCTCTGGCCTCCGGATCCGCAGGTACCGAGTTTAAATCCCGGTTGAGCAACTCTTGTGAACGAGTTCTTTATGACAAATGGGCTCATTGTTGATGATTTTCAAACTCGTCAATCAGTTCTAGAGTAGTGCAGGATGCTTTCAACAATTGTTAGAATGAAGAATTTGCCAATTATGAAGTTCAATAGGAAACGACTCAGCCGTTTATAGTTTTCGACGTAGATCTCGGATAAAAGTTGTCAAGTAGGGAGCCTTGTACAGATGGTCGGACGATCGCAAATATCTGTTGATGGAGAATTTGCGGTATACTTCACCGGTGCGAATGATAAGACTAATCAGTGGTGCTGATCCTTGAAGAATTCGGGTAGAATCTTCCTCCTGATACCGTGGGAAATAACGTCGAGATCCAAAAATTCCGACAATGGTAGAACTTTCGAGTTGGTGTACTTGTAATCCAAATTCAAAGGATACGTTGTCAATTCGCAATTTATTTCCACGCGACGTTCAGTCTGCCCTATACTATCAAGTAAATTCGACGAAAACTCGGAGAGCTCGGGATTCGACTCAAATTCGATGGACGCGGGTTGCCCGGCCGGTCCTCATAGCTCTCCGCCAGGTCGGCCGGTTCCGAGCTAGGTCTTTCCAGTTGACTGGGTTGATCTGCAGGCGCTTCAAGGGTTCCTCACGGTATCCTTTTATTACCGGACATGACGACAGCAATCGGTGGTGATATGTATCCAGAAGAGTCGTTTGGTAATCGCTCGTCGTCCGTGTCCACAAAGTGGCCGCTCCAATGCAATTGCAGATGTCTCAGCATGGCGTAGATGCTGATAATTCCCGTCGGCTTCAGTACATTCGTCTTCGGGATCCGGTTCCGCAACCTCAGTCTCAGTATCCGTCAGATACAGCTGAGATGGAAGTGATTGAGTCCGTGCCTGCTTCATGTACGCTGTCCAGGTCTCTGCTCCATACAGCAGCGTGGACAGGACAACGGCCTTATTAATCTCTAGTTTGGTGTGGAGATGGTGACTGTGGCTATTCCAGTCTGTGCTTTGTAGACGGCCGAAGACTTGGCTGGATTTGGTGATCTGCGGACTACTTCATGGTCTATCTTGGTGGTACGGGAGAAGGTTCTGCCTAGGTAGGTGGAGTTGTCCATGACTTGCAGTTGGGCGCCGTCACGTTGAATTTGGGTGCCACGTAGGCAGCATCCGGTGGCGGTTGATGCATAACCACCGTGCTGATAACTAGGCTGTAGTTGTCGCAGGCGGCGGCCAAGAGGTCCATGACCGCTTTGTGTGTCCCCTTCCGAGGTAGCGTTTAGGGCGCAGTCATCAGCGAAGAGAAATTAATGGACGTAGTTGTGGATATATGTGACTGTAAATTCATCCGCTACAGATTGCGGTGGTGGCTGTCCGTCCTGTAGGCGGTGTGGGGCCTAGGGCGTTTGCCGTGGTAGGCATGCAACAACATGGCAAAGAATATGGGACTGAAGAGGGTGGGCGGCAAAACGCAGCCCTGTTTCACTCCGTTGTTCACTGAGAATGCCTCTGAGGCTGTTCCTTCGTCTGTGACCCGCACCATCATGTCGTCGTGGAGCTAAAGCACAATCTGAGTGAATATCTCAGGACAGCCAAATTTCTGTATGATTTTCCCCAGTCCTTCGCGATTTACCGTGCCGAAGGCTTTCGACTGATTCATGAAGATAGAGTAGAGGCAGGTCACAATCTCCTGACACTTCTTCTGGAGTTGGCGAGCGGCAAAGATCACAACGGAGACTGGCAGTGCCCAAGGATCGCTATAATAAACCTATTCTATTCTATTCCATCCGTGGTCCGACGACGACGGTGGATACCGCATTGGCTTTCGAGCAGGAGACCTTGTTCTAGGTGGTTGTTCAGGCGATCGAGAATGATGCGAGCGAGGATCTTTCCAGCGATGTTCAGCAGGGAGATACCCCGATGGTTGTCACAGGCATGGCGGTTGTCCTTCCACTTGTGCAGATGAACGATTGTGGCGTCCTTAAAATCCTGCGGGACTTCTTCTTGAGGCCACATTTTCTGGAAGAGCGCCGTCAGATGATCCGTGAGTTGGAGCTACCGTGCTTGTAGATTTTAGCAGGCATTGCTTCCGATCCAGGCACTTTCCTGATGAAAAGCTGCTGCACGACCCTGATGGTCTCATGGAGGGAGGGCAGAAGGTCGACATCGATGATGGTCTCGGTGAGTAGGGTATTGCTGTCGACGCTGAGAAGAGGAGCAGCGGCTTTGGTTGCGAACCGTAGACAGCCTTGATCATGGGGAAGAAATTCTTCCATTCGTTGCGACCCGTGTAACCTTGTGAGCCGTTCAAGCGGCCCGCATCTCCCGCATGTGCTTTTTCATAAGGCGTCGACTGCGGTAGAAGGCTGCTTTGTTGGCGTCGGTGGAGCGGGTGGCATAGGATTTGCGCAGATGTTTCTCCCAGATAAGCAGGTTGCTGACGGCAACGTCATTGTCACCGAACCAGTCCTGGTGTTGACGTAGTGCGTCGACTGAACTGTGTCCCGCAGTTGGCACCATCGTTTCTCCATGAAGGCTTTCTTGTCAGCTGTGGCGATGGCGGCGACAGGAAAGCTGGCTTTTTGTTGAACTAGCTATTTGCTGAAGTGGAGAGGGTGAGCAGACAAAGACCACAAGGCCATATTCAGTTTACCTGTGGTCGCTTTCCTTGATGTCTTCTACGAGGCAGTCAGCGAGTCCGCATCCTGCGGATGACGGGACGATGGTCGATCCACCCGCCGGCATCCGGAATCGCTTTTGTCCCCAGCACGTCCTGCTGATCTCGCTTGCAGACGACTATATAGTGGTCAGAGTGTTAGTCAGGGTGAGCCGGTAGTCTGCGCAGGTTCGTAGGAGGATCAGGCGTTCGTCACTGGAGCTGTCGAAACCCTGGGGACCCAGCACACCTCTCCAGGCAACATGGTCTGTACCGACGTGGGCGTTAAATTCCTAAGGACAGTCAACTTATCCGCCTCTGGCACAGTCACCAGGGGGGCATGCAGGTCCGCGTAAAATCTGTACCTTACATCGTCAGGGTTGGTCATCTCAGGGGAAGGGTGAGCCGTGCTCTCTCTAAATTGGGCTGCATAGCTTTCCCAGACGACTGACGAACTGCACTATGGGCCACGGCTTTTGTTTAGTGGAGGACGGCCCTAGTTAGCCTAAGCCTGTCTACGACATCGCCGTAGACTTGAAAGGGGAGATGGATGGGGGAAGAGTAGAGAGAGGGAGGGCAAAGCTTTCCCGTCCCAGTCTAAGCGAACTGGTTGCCGAAATATAAACTTCGAGCAGACAAATCTGACAGAACAGCATTTAGCCTATAATAAACACAACCAGAAATGAGCAGATAAAAAGCAAGCATGTAAGAACAACGAAAAGCAAAATCAACAGAGGGGATTAAACAGATTGGCATTTAACTTTCAACAAGGACAAACACAAAAACAGACAAATATCAATTCAGCCAGGCAGTGTTCGCTTACCTAGGGGCTAATTTACCTTGTCGCCTCCTGCCGTGTCACAGACGGAGAGTCGTCTTGGAAATACCGAGTCGGTGATCCATCCGGCTAGCGGAGCTGAGTAACGTGCGCGGCGATGCACACACGGATACCCTCATCTGGTTTAGCTCGCCGGTCGGGGCGGTTACCGGGGTATGGCCGCTAGGCCGAGCCTAGTTTCGGGAAGCCACATGTAAGAGTTGGGTGACAGTAAGTGGACGCTAGACACTGTCAACGCCTGCAAACAACTGAACAATCTTCTACTGTCGTCACGCGGACCCAAAACTGGATCCCCCTTAAACCCCACGATAAATGGTTAAGTGATAGTCACGCACCTCAGAGAAATTCTTTCCTGCGTGCTAAAACTAATACAAATTAAAAAGTTGTGTTACATAATTACCGACGACGACGGACTGTTGTGAATGCAGTTAGGAAGCTGTAATTTCCTTTAAGTCGTTACCAAAATCTTGATGAATTGTTCTCAACCGTGTTATTCATAGTATACGTCCTACCTCATCTGGATTATTGGTCACAGCAATAATCCTCTTTTTCTCATTTTTTAATACTGAGGTCTTGCAAAAAGTGAATTGCTTAATAACAAGACTATTCCATCCGCCTCGCAGAATGCAATACAGATCGGTTGGAAATGCGAAAAAAGTTCAGCATGATTCAAATGACTGTTTGTTAAAAATATCTCAGAATCTTAAAGAGTAATTATATGATTAACAATGCTTTTTTTTCTGTCAACTCTACCAATGCAAACAAAATTGACACCTACGTGGGCAACATCCTAAGCCGTTTAAATCCCTAGAATTTTTCGGAGGACACTCGCTCATTCCGTCTTCAATGACAAGATGTAAAGAACTAGAAAATTGTCACAAAACACCAATTGGAACTGTGAGAGATGGCAGGAATCCACAGGGGAATCAAGACAGGGGAAAACCGTATATTTCAGATTAAAACTATATCTTTGCTGGCGTTCATTCGCGTACTTACGCTGACACTCACCAAACACCAACGTGGTGCATAATTTGTAGGCACAAGTGTTTTGCAAATGCGAGAATATTGCAGCTGTTATGTTCTCTATAAATTGAACCGATTTAATCAAGCGTTTAACTTGTTTGATTTGTTCTCGTTCGTTTATAAATTGGCCATATTCCTTTGGTTTGCGACGTGGTTTTTCCAAATCCTGTTGGCGATTTTATTTTCAACGGACTTTCCCGTATTTATTCTGCCTGTTGAATTACTCATTATTTCCGCTGTCATGGTCCTGTCGTGTGTGGCGTCGCGCGTATCTGCAATATCACCTCCTGACAATCTTCCCATTTCTAGATCCCCCAGTATGCTTCCAGAGCTTAGTTTAGGTAAGCTGCCCTTAAGAATGTCTGGGGCGTATTTCGAAGTGTTATGAAATCCGTAGGCCTTAAATCGACCAGGCGATTTCAATCCCATTCAGTATCAGAGCAAAACGCTTGAAAAATTTCGTTTATCCAGGTTGTGCAGCGGGTTTGTTTTAATGTATCAAAGGATCATAACCGAAATCGGGCCGAGTCCCACTCAGATCGTTTTCGCCCCCTTATTTGGCTTTTTTTGCTGGAATGACTGAAAATTCAAGTAGATCTTCAAAAGAACCCGCGGCAAGGTGATAGGACACACGCATACAAGCGTGCTTTACATTTTTCTGCTAAAATGTTAAGTCCTCGAAATGGTCAAAGCCTGAAGTTCGCATAATTGGTCCATTTGACGGGGCATTTCTTGATAGCAAGGAAGCAAGTCACGCCATCCTCACTTAAGTGGTTGTAGCAATGTCGCTGTACTGCGGCATTATCAGTAACTGCAGTTTTTCTTGGCAGTTAGATGTAGATCCTTTCAAGGCTTCCTGTGCGGTTTCTTAATCGTTTCCCCAAACAGTTAGTCAATGAGGGACTGGTGATAGCCCTTTTGTATAGTAAAGATCAAAACTGTCCCCATGGGTCGCGTTATAGCCTGGTGGCTGGGACGAGACTCATGTCTCTGACGAAGAAGTTGCCCAGTCAGGGTTCGGTTCATTAGCGTAACGGCACTGTAGTGCCGTTCATATATGCGTGTAGTTCATAGGCTAGCTACTGTGCGAAGTCTATTTCCACTCACTCTGACCATGCGCCACCGCTGGGTCACTCCTGGAGGTTGGTGTACTGATTGTTCATTTGAAGCGAGTCGTATACGTCCATCCTTACCAGCACTTCAGTTTTTGTCACCAGATAATATCGACTGTCTCTTTGGGAGTCGCTCCCTTCCTACACTTGCATATTCTTTCGATGAAGGTTCCAAAAATCCGTATCCCTTAACAACGGACGATGTGACACGCCAGACTCGGCAGGATCCCGAACAGGCTCTGGCAGTCCGGTCTCCGCTAATGTTGCCGCCGGCAGTCCTTCATCCACCACAAGTTCCTGTGCAGTACAGGCTAACTCGCCGACTTCAGCTGCAAACAGTAACTTAAACCATGCCGGAGGTG